GGTGGTGGTGGTACTTGCCCAGTCATTTTTGACAGGTTAGTATTATATAAATAGCTTTTTTAGTTATGCTGTTATCTTGTGCTTTTCAATGAACACATTAACAAAAATAATGCTTTGCTAATGTTTATGTTACCATATATAGCTCTAGTATTTGTTTTGGGTCTTGTAATCCAAGCTGCCTGGTTAGAGTTAGCATTTATTGAAAGGCCTACAATAAACATAGTTTACTGGGAATGTTATTAAACAGTTTTTCTGGCTGATAACCTGTACTATGCCACTTTAAAATATTTCCAATCATATTGTAATGTTTCATTTTGCTTGATATCCTCTAATAGAAGCTATATTTTGATAATATTTTAATCATTCTACATCTATATAGTTGATTATTTAGTCTGTTACAGTTTAGATTTATGTGTTATCTGGGTATACATATATGTGTTGATCTGTTCTTTTTTCAAAGGTTTATAGAGATGCTCCTGGATTAACAGAAACTCGAGCTACCTCATGCCACAGCCTTCAGATTTCACAGCTACAAGAAGAGGTGGTGGGACTTCGAGCAGAAAACTCAGCTCTACAGGAACAATTAGGAAGACATGAGGCTGAGTTGAATCGTGCACGCACTGCTTATATTAACTATCGTGAAGACAAAGACCGTCTTCAGCGGAAGGTAGGTACAAAACATTTAGTATGTTAATCTGTCTAATAAAGAAATGCACTAACTATCACACTTTTATAATATTTTTATTGTATCAGAACAACGTTTATACAAGTAATAATTATACATAGTGCTGTCTGAATGTGTAGCCCAGTCTGCAGTTTATATAAGCACTTTTGCTTTAATCTTCCATATGATATGTGTAGTAACTAATGAAATAACACTAGAAATGAATAAATGGACAAAATTAGTCTTTTAGAGGGTGGATTTACATAATTCTTACACATCAGACATTAAGTCAAAATATTAAGATGTAATGGTGAGATGAAAAAAAAATGTGAGGTAGGTGTAATCATTTAGTCCTTCTCCAACTAAATGCAAATATGTCAAAAATGTTTATTTGTTGAAAACAGTAAATAATTGGAGAAGGAGGGGGATAAAGGATGGTAATTAAAACGTTGATTTTTTTTATCTATACTATTATTCTGCTTGTTTGTATGTACGATCGTTATGCTTTCTGACCGAGAACTTGCTGCATAAGCATGCGTAGTTAAAATGTTTCCCCAAGAAAAACCTCGCATGCGCATTATTCACTCGACGACAAACAGTCTGCCTGCGGCAAAGAGCTGCAAAGCTCAGTGATCAAGTTGCTACA